TCTCTCTCTCTCTCTCTCTCTCTCTCTCTCTCTCTCTCTCTCATTCCAGATTCACGTTACTTCGTACTAATTCTCAATTGCTCAATTCGCACATGCAATTGTGATTTGGGTCTAATTCTCTGAAAAATTAGGGTTCAACAGATTATTTTGAGCCTCAGAAACTTACTAATCTAGTTCTCTAAATCATGGCTGTTACCGACGAAATTGAACAATTAAAGGATATGGTGTTGATTCGAGTAGTCATTTCTACATGCATCCATCAGATAATCCTGGTGTGATGCTGGTTCAAGTTCTGTTTGATGGCACTGGTTACCGTTCATGGAGAAGAGGTGTATTGCGAGCACTTTTGGTAAAGAACAAATTAGGTTTCATAAATGGCGAATGTAAAAAGCCAGATTTAAAATTCTCAATGTATCGCCTGTGGGATAGGTGTGACGATATGGTCACATCATGGATTCTAAATTCTCTAGCTAAGGAGATAGCCGATGGAGTTGAATACATTAACGATGCAGTAGAATTGTGGAAAGAGTTAGAAGATCGTTACGATCAGACGAATTGTGCAAAACTGTACCAAATCCAAAAGGAAATTAATGATTTATCTCAAGGAAACATAGACATCACTGCTTATTACACCAAAATGAAGAAGTTGTGGGAAGAATTAAGCACTCTAAGTGTCAAGAGTCAATGCGGATGTCATTGCACCTGCGGAGCCAAAGAAAACATACATAAGGCATAACAGGATAGGAGATTAATCCAATTTCTTATGGGCTTGAATGAGGTCTACACTGTAGTAAGAGGAAGCATCCTCATGATGAATCCATTGCCTTCAATGGCACAACCTTTTTGCTTGTTAGTTCAGGAGGAAAAGCAAAGGGAAATCAGACCAAGTAATCAACTCGTCATGAAATCTGCCTCGTTGAATGTGAACACCACGGGATCAAACAATTTCAGAACCAATTATTTACCAAACAATAAGTATTTTGGAAATAATAGGTCTCGACCCATGTGCGATTACTGCAAAAAGCCAGGACATACCAAAGATAAATGCTATAAATTGCATGGTTACCCTCAAAATTTTCAAAACACTCAGAATCCAAGTAAAAACTACAAGGGCAACAGAGAAAATAAATGGAAAGGAAAGAGAACATTGGCAAATGTACATGGAACATCTACTGATATAACTTCTATGGCTGGGGATGACCCTGGTCGTAAGGATGAGAGTCAAAATGTAAGCCTTACTAAGGAGCAATATGGATAGCTTGTCAACCTTCTACAACACTTTCAGACTGGAAATGGTGGTGATAGCCCAAGCGGAGTGATCAATGGAGCTGTAAATTTTGCAGGTATGATAGTCTGTTCAAGTAAAGTCACTTTTGTTGATTTCGGCAAACTTTCATGCAAATGTTTCAAATCAAGAACTGACACATGGATCATAGACTCAGGTGCATCAAACCACATGACATTCAATAAATCCTCACTAACCAATGTTATAACCTTACCATATCTTGTCTTAATTACACTTCCTAAAGGCTATAGGGTAAAGTAAGGGTGGCATATGGGCCGGGCTTCGCGGGCTTCTTGTTGGAACCGGCCCGGGATCGGGACCACGAACTAACGGTCCCGAGTTAAGTGGGCCGGTCCCGGGCCCAAGCGGACCTAAGTGGGCCCAACAGATACTTTCTATTTTTAAATTTTTTTTATACAAGTTAGAGAAAGAAAATGGTAATAAAAATATCTAAGACAATTTATAAATTATATTATATAATTGTCACACACACACACACATACA